TGCAGGTGAATGTATAAAATTATAAGTATACGCTGATAGTGTAAAAAACTGACACTAGTTTAACATTATATACCTGAACACATGCTTTATTTTTCTGAGAATGTAATTTTATTAATATTATAATTAATTACTTGTAATTATTGTTGGGTTTTATATAATAAGAGGTGTATTATGGAAAATGGAGGTAAAAGATTTGGAGGAAAACGAAATGTTTGAAGTTGTTTCCTTTACTATAATGTACTTTTTCTCTTATCGGAAAAAGGAAAGAAAATCTTTGTGTTTATATAGAGAAGCTGATGATAGGCTATAATTACATATTTTAGTCGCTTATTACACTCTAATCTGCACTTTAATTGAGTTTGAGCTTTAATCGCTAGTGTTCTGCACTAATTGTGTATTTTATACCTTGTAGGAGTGATTCTGAGCTATGTAGATATTATGGAATGAATTCAAGTGATTTGGAGCTTTGAAGTCTGAGTAAAAGCCCAAGGAATCAAGCCGGGATCGTGTTCGGGGATCAACGGATGATAGTTAAGAACGATACGGAGAATCGAGCGGGCATATAGTGCATTGTCTAATAAAATGCACATAACTTTTCCCTCAGAACTCCGTTTGGGCTCCACAATATATCGTTGGAAAGCTATTTGAAAGGGCTAAAACTTTCATGTTTTGCATTTTTGCGAATTCCCACTACCGCGGCGTATGGTACGGCCCGCCGCGCGCCGCGCCTGTGGAAATTCCCTGCAGCCTGTCAGAATCAGCTCTCTGAACTTCCCCACAAGCACACTGCGTGGCACGTCGCCCCATGCGGCGCGCCTGTGCAAATTTTACAGAGCCAGAGTCCTATTTCGCACAGGAAAAGGCTGTATTGCGTTTTCATAGGATACGCAAGAAATAGTAAGGCATATCGTTTTCTTGTTCATAAATCAGAAAATTCTGACGTTCATATTAATACAGTAATCGAATCCGATAATGCTGAATTCTTTGAGAATATTTATCCGTATAAAAATAAATGTGAGTCGTCTAATGATAATTCTAAGCGACCTCGAGAAGAAGCAAAGGAAAGTACGTTTAGTGAGGAAAATCCAAGACGTAGTAAACGTCAAAGGATAACTACTTCCTTTGGACCAAACTTTCTGACATTTTTATTGGAAAATGAGCCTCAAACATTTAAAGAAGCAATGTCTTCCTCGGAAGCACAATATTGGAAAGAGACAGTTAATAGTGAGATAGAATCCATATTAAGTAATCATACTTGGGAATTGGTTGATCTTCCTCCAGGAAATAAACCTTTGGGTTCTAAGTGGATTTTCAAAAGGAAAATGAAAGCTGATAGTACTATTGACAAATACAAGGCAAGATTAGTTGTGAAAAAGGTTTAGACAACGAGAAGGTCTTAATTATTTTGATACATACTCAACGGTAACGAGGATTACATCTATTCAGGTGTTAATAGCGTTAGCCGCAGTGTATGGTCTTGAAATCCATCAGATAGATGTGAATACAACCTTCTTAAATAAAGATTTGGAGGAAGAAATTTATATGGAACAACCTGAAGGGTTCATGATTCCCGAAAATGAAAAGAAGGTGTGCCGACTTGTTAAGTCACTTTACGGATCGAAACAAGCACCCAAACAATGGCATGCGAAATTTGACCAAACAATGTTGGCAAATGGATTTAAGATTAATGAGTGTGATAAATATGTATACATTAAGAACATTCCAAATCATACAGTCATTGCATATTTATATGTTGATGATATGTTAATAATGAGCATAGACATTGCGGATATAAATGCTACTAAGTGTATGCTTGCTAGCAAGTTTGATATAAAAGATTTAGGAGTTGCTGATATTCTAGGAATTAGAATTCATAGGATTCCTCAAGGACTGGCATTGTCTCAATCTCATTACGTTAAAATGGTACTGGAAAATTTCAAGTATTCGGATTTCAAAGTCGCAAAGATCCCGATTGATGTAAATGTGGCTCTTACAACGAATCTAGGTCAAAGCAAATCTCAATTGGATTATGCTCGAGTATTGGAAAGTTTAATGCATATCATGAATTGTACACGATCTGATAAAGCTTGTGTAGTAAGTAAATTGAGTCGTTACACAAGTAATCCCGACCACACTCATTCGATAGCAATGAAACGAGTTTTGGGGTATCTAAAACATATCCAAGATTATGCTTTGCATTACAGTAAGATCCTGTGGTAATTGAAGGATATAGTGATGCAAATTGGATCACTAGGTCATCAAAAACAAAGTCCATAAGTGGACATTTTTTTACAATTGATGGAGGAGCAATTTCTTGGAAATCATAAAAACAAACATGCATTGCTCGCTCAACAATGGAGTATGAGTTTATAGATTTAGATAAGGCTGGAGAAGAAGCTGAATGGCTCCGTAATTTCTTGAAAGATATTCTGTTTTGTCCCAAACCAATGCTTCTATATGCATACATTGCGACAGTCAAGCGACAATAGGAAGGGCTGGAAGCGTTATGTATAACGAAAAATCTCGTCACATACGACGAAGACATAATACCGTTAGACAACTACGCTCTAGTGGAGTTATCACAATTGACTACGTAAAGTCAAAAGATAATCTGTTGAATCCACTTACAAAAGGCCTAAATAGAGAGGTGGTTGATAAATCATCGAAGGGAATGAGACTATGGCCGAGGAAAAGTCACTGTGGCGGTAACTCTACCTAGAAGAGTGGAAATCCCAAGATCTAGGTTCAAGGAGATCAAACAAAGTCATTCGTAACGGTTCAACATTGTCAAATAAAATTTTGGTCTATTCGTGATAAGACAATGTTCAGTACCGAGGATAAAGCGTTAAGGCTTTTAATGGTTTCTAAGTTTGATACGGAGTATATCAAATAGTGTGTCTACGGGATGACACGTTTAGGAATCACCTATATAAGTGTGAAGTGTAACACTTCAAGGACAATTCTGTAAGGCCATTTCTCTACGCACTTATGAACTAGGCGTTGTTCATGGCTGAAACGAACACAACAATGAGAACCAAAGTCGGGTTAAAGGGTTAACTGTGTGACTTATGGCTGTCTAAGTATACACCAAAGTTTGACGGTTCAAAGATATCAAATCTACCAATTGACCGAGTATATCCGTCATAAGTTCACTATGAAAAGTTCAAAGGGAAACCTACTTATCCAGATGCAATTAATCCTTGCTTGTAAATCACATTTTTCATGCATGCATATTTTCAGATAGTCATTCCCCATTCATGTGGGGGATTGTTGGGTTTTATATAATAAGAGGTGTGAATGAAAAATGGATGGAAACAAAAAGTTTGAAGTTGTTCCTTTACTAATGCACTTTGTCCATCATCGAAAAAAGGAAAGAAAATGTTTGTGCTTATATAGAGAAGCACATCTTCTAACTCTTAAAGAGTTGAGAAGAAGTGGTGCCTCGCGCCGTCATTGTCGTCGCTCGGCTCGGCTTCGGCTTCGGCTTCGACTTCGGCTTTAGATTCGGATTCGGATTTGGATTTAGATTTGGTCAATTGATATAATTGATTGATAATTTTTTGGACCAAATTTATTTTTCGTTTTTCGTTATTTATTTTTATTTTTCCTAATATTTTCGCGGATAAGTTCCTAACCCCTAAAGGTCATTATTGAATTTAAAATTTGCGACCAAATGGAAAAGTTTTCTGCCGAAACAGTACCTCATGCGAAGAGGTATTTTCGCACCTATTCAACCCAGACTGTTTGGCTATAAATTTAGAGGTTTGGTCTCACTTTCAAACTACCGAAATTTGCATATTCTCCCCCCTCTTCTGCATTTCTGCATTGTTTTCCAAAAGCAAATATGTAAGAATTATTATGGCTTACTGACGTTTGTTGAGTTCGACGAAGAGTAATTTCCATTGTCGATATTACAGAATAGTTGTTTCGTTCTATCTTGGGAGGAATTAATCCAACAACCTTGGGCAACAATGAGGAGATTAGAGCTTTTCTCTCTCGGTGCACGTTAGGTGACTGACTAACCTGCGCCACCACCACAAATGGGAGGAAGAGGAAGGCCGAGGAAGAACAACACCAAAACACCAGCAATGGACCAGAAGCTCACGACGGATAGCACATGTGTACAAGGAAAAGGAAAGGCTAAAGCTAAGGAGAAAACACATGAGGATGAGCTAGATCCGGACAGTGACAGTGAAGAAAATTGGCCAGATCTGGGCAATTATCGAAATCAAACAACAACACCAGTAAATTCTAGCAAAAAATTGACATTGATGGAAAACTCAAACAAAGGAAATAGTGTAACGAGGATTGTAAGTGAGACACCCAACTTGAGTGTGGTACAAACCAATGGAACAGTACATGCAATCCCGAGCAAGGAACAGAGAGCTAATCCTATGGATAATCAGAAGGTAAACCAACAGAAGAGCTCAATTCCAACAGTAGATAAGGGACGATCATGGGCAGGACTACTTCAGGAGAACAAGTTAGCAGCAAAAGGTATGAATCTAACCTATATACCCCCGGTAATGAAGGATGGTGAAGTAGTAGTACAATTGATGGATGAGAACATTGAAGAAGAAAACCTAAAGTGGACTAGAGCTGTTATACTCTATGTGGTGGGAAATACTCATCAATTGGAGCTATTGAAAGGTTCATCACTAATCAGTGGGCAAATGTGTAGAAACCTAAGGTGCTATTCCACAATGATGGCTATTTCATTATCCTGCTTAGTACTAATGAAGAGAAAGAAGGGTGATGATAAATGGACCTTATACAATTAACAGTAGGCCAGTTATCATGAGGCAATGGTCAGAGAGTTTTGATTTCAATGAAGAAGTGCTGAGGACTATTCCCCTGTGGATCAAGTTTCCAAATCTGCCTCTTAATCTTTGGAGCAACCAAGCTTTATGTAAAATTGGAAGTGGATTGGGAAAACCATTATATGCTGATGCTTGCACAACAATTGCAAAGAGAATTTCGTATGCCGGGTTTTAATTGAGATGGATGTTACAAGGCCACTGCCAGAGATGATTAAGCTCTATGATCCTAAAGGCAAGGTGTTAGAGAAATTAGTACACTATGATTGGAAGCCACTGTACTATCAGAAGTGTTGTCAACTAGTCCATATATACAAGGACCAAAGGAAGCAGAAACAAGATGGAATGATACAAAAAACTGGGGAAGGAATGCAGAAGCAGGAATGGAGGAAAGTTACAGTACTTGAACCTGTAACTGATAAAATTGATGCCCAAGGGAGGTTTATTTAACAATTGGAGGAAGTCTCAATTGTGCAGCAGAGTAATCCAGAGGTTGAACCACAATGGCAAGTAGCTCGAGGCAAATCTGCTACAAAGAAGCATGCAGATGTCATAAGGGAGAAGGAAGTGGACATTGGTAATGCGTTCAAAGCACTGGTTGATACTGCTCAAAAAATTGTCCAACTGTCTGAAGCCCAAGGTGAAAAAGAGAAGCAGAACAAGAAGGCTAGGGAAGGATTTCCACAACTATCTATCATATCATGATGAACTTCATAGCATGGAATGTAAGGGGTTTGAATAAAGTGTATAAACAAAAAGAACTAAAAAAATTCTACAGAACTAATAAAGTAGTATTGATAGCCATAATAAAGCATAGAGTGAAGAGGAGTAATGTTGATTCTGTATTAAGAAAGGTTTTGAATAACTGGAAATGGGTGGACAACTATGATGAGGCTCCTGGAGGTAGACTATGGGTTATATGGGATTCTACACAGTTGGATTATACACTAATTAGAACTCATGAACAATTTATACTGGGAAAGGTAACTATAATGCAGCAGAATATCAACTTTTCTCATTGTGATGTTTATGGTAAGCATACAGTGCAAGACAGGAAAAATCTATGGGAGGAGTTGTTGAAGTCTGTGATTGATATAAGGAGTCCTTGTCTCATAATGGGTGATTTCAATACCATCCTAACAAGTGAAGATAGATTTAATGGCAGCCTGTGCAAGAGGTGGAGACAAGGGATTTCAAACAATTCTTATTGGATGCTAAAGTAGATGAATTGAAAACTGTGGGAAGACAATATACATGGACTAATAACCATGTACATAGCAGGATTGACAGAATTCTGGTGAATGCTGAATGGATACAAAAGTGTCTTAACATGGAAGGGATGTCTATGAATCCTGGATTCTCAGATCGCTGCCCTTTAAGTGTGAGTTTTGATACCAGCAGCCAAGCAGGTGGGAAACCTTTCAAATTCCTTAACTGCCTGGCAAGTTTGAATTCTTTTAAAGGACAGTTCAACTCAATTGGAGACCCAGAAATGGTAGACATACAATGCTAACAGTGTGGAGCAAACTTAAGAAGCTGAAAGTGGCACTAAAGCAGATGAATAAGGAAGAGTCTAGTGGAATTGATAACAAGATACAAGATGCTAGAGGGAGATTAGAAAATTTTCAAAGCCGAATGAGTATCCGAGGCCAAGATGTAGAGCAGGTTGAACTGGAAAGGGCAACAAAATTAGAGCTGGAAAAATGGTTAATGGTGGAGGAGAGCATTATAAAATAAAAGTCTAGGATACAATGGCTTAATCTTGGAGATTCAAACACAACATTCTACCATGCTTGCATGAAAAATAGACAAGCAAGGAACTACATTGGCAGGTTAATTAATAGCAATGAGAATCTATTACAGAATCCAGATGAGTTGGAGGCAGAGATCCTGAGTTTCTATTGGGGTTTACTTAGTACTGCAGCGACACAACTACTAGCGATCAATTCTAAGATTATGCAGAATGGATCTATGCTGAGCAGGAGCCAACAACTACAGTTAATCAGACCTGTTAGTAGAGAAGAAGTGAAGCAAGCTTTAATGGGCATTGATGATAACAAGGCACCAGGGTGTGATGAGTACAATTCCTACTTCTTCAAGAAGACATGGCACATTTTGGAAAAGGAAGTTACTACAACAATTCAAGAGTTCTTTGAGAGTGCAGATATGTGTAAAGCTATTAACTGCACAACCATCACATTGATACCAAAAGTTCAGAATCCAAAAAACATAAGAGACTTTAGACCTATTTACTGTTGCACAATTTTATATAAGCTCATCTCAAAAGTGATTACTACAAGAATGCAAGGGGTGATGGAAGACTTGGTGGATAATTGCCAAGCTGCTTTTATACCTGGAAGACTGATCACAGATAATATAATTATGAGTCATGAATTGGTGAAAGGTTATGAAAAAAAGAATATATCTCCAAGATGTATGCTTAAAATAGACATGCAGAAAGCCTATGATTCTGTGTAGTGGCTGTACATAGAACAAGTGCTAAGGTTACTTAATTTTCCTAAAGTATTTGTGAGGTGGATAATGGCTTGTATTAAAATAGTAACCTATTCAGTTCTTATTAATGGTAGACCTACTGCACCTTTTGAGGCAAGGAAGGGGTTAAGGTAGGGAGACCCACTCTCACCCTTCCTATTTGTTTTGGCTATGGAGTATCTGAGCAGATCCTTGAAGACATTGAAGGGAGATAAGAAGTTTAGATTCCACCCAAGGTGTGCCAGGTTTAACTTAGTGCAGGTGGGATTTGCAGATGACTTACTACTGTTCTGCAGAGGAAATGTACAATCTGTACAGATCCTGCACCAACATTTCCAGCAATTCTCTGCAGCATCAGGACTGATTTCCAATCCAAATAAAAGTTGCATTTATTTTGGAGGGGTGAACCAGTTGACTCAGCAACAAATTATGGAGCTACTTGGTTATACAAAGGGAGAATTGCCTTTTAGATATTTAGGGGTGCCTTTGAGTACTAAGAGATTGTCTACTATACAGTGTGAGCCCCTAATAGAGAAGATGTTGAACAGGATCCAGAGCTGGACTACAAAGTTCTTGTCATATGCAGGTAGAGCAGTACTGGTGAAGAGTGTGCTGTTTGCTATGCAAACTTTTTGGGCACAGATCTTTATGTTGCCTAAGAAAGTTATACAGTTCATAGAAACTATCTGTAGAAGGCTTCTTTGGACAGGTAATGCTGAACCAACTAAAAAGCCTTTGATAGCCCGGAGAAACTATGCTCACCTAAGGTTGCAGGGGGATTGAATTTTATTTATGTGGCATTTTGGAATGAAGCTGCTATCTGCAAATTGCTATGGAATACTTGTTATAGGAAGGAGAAGCTATGGATACACTAGGTACACACTTACTATATCAAGGGCCATACAGTCTGGAGTAAAGAACCAAAGAGTGCTTCCTGGGCAATCCAAAATATATTTCAGGCTAAGGAGTACTTTGCTAAGGTAGGATTGAATGAAGAAGATGTTCAGAGGATGGTGAAGTGTCCAACTAAGCAAATATACAGATCCTTACAAGGAGAATTTCAAAAAGTGCCATGGAGGAAGTTAGTGTGCAATAACCAAGGGCAGCCCAAGTAGATATTCATTTTGAGATTGGTAATTCAACAGAGGCTAGCAACTAAAGAGAGACTGGCAAGATGGGGTGTAATTACAGATCAAACATGCTCCCTGTGCAACAAGGAAAATGAGACAGTGCAACATATGTTCTTCAAGTGTGAGATAACAGGGAAGATCTGGAATGGTTTATTGAGATGGCAAGGAATACAAAGAACACAACATGCATGGCAGGAAGAGATTACATGGCTGGCGAAGGTGACCAAAGGAAAGAGTGCAAGGCCAGCAATATGCAGAATGATACTAGCAGCTGCTGTTTATCATTGTTGGCAAGAGAGGAACTTTGTGATTTTCTAGAAGAAGAGAAGGACAGACACTACTTTACTTCATCTTATTATTCAGGAAGTGAACATAAGGGCAGCTAAATTCCCTTATCTAGATAGAGCAATGGCTACATTGAACTGGTATCCGGAAGTTAGCTAGAATAGAACACAATAGTGGAAGCAGAAGAAGTAATAGAAGCAGTAAATGCTAGGTATCACTAAACCGGGGCTTCATGTCCAATAGGTGATACGCTAGATGCAATTTTTTAATAGATTAGATGAGTTGTAATTATTGCCACTTGGTAATAAAATACTTAATTACCAAAAGAAAATAGTGAGGAGATTAAATTCCTTAAAGAAACATAATTTTTTGTTGGGATCGAAACATTATTCATCTGATCTATTGCTGTCTTTTGTTTCTGGTTGCGTTTTACTATGCAGAAATTATATTTTCGAATACATGTACTAACAATTATCTTTTAGGTGACTTGATAGAATAAAATTATTTACTTTATTAGTGTGCAGTTGCGAAGCCAGAAAATTTTACCAGTGGGTTATGCAAGGGTGTTCAAAGTCTATTTTAATCAATAAGTAATATTTTATCTTATAAGTAGTATAATTTTTTAGCGAATGGTGTGCAATTGACCACCCTTGGGCTAACATAGCTTCGCCCTTGTCAATGTGTATAAGTTAATTAATCTTGCAGCAGTATGTACTTGCTCGATACACATAAAGGTGAATTACTATTGGAAACATTTGATTAAAAACCTGCCCTCAACCCAATTCCCTAATTAATTTTCACAAGCTCCTATCCAACCCTTTTCTCTTCCATGGTGATAATGTTTATCTCTGTCTCTAGCTAAGTAATATAAATATCTAAATGGAGATACATGTCAATTAGACAAAAGTCAACCAAATAATATCACTTTTAAGTTTTAATGCTTGATGATGCTAGCTTTAAGTCCTTTGGAACATTGAATGAATGAATGTGCTCATAATAGATTGATTAAAATGTTATTGATCACGCACAACTCTATTTTTAAAAAGGATAAGCGGTCGCTGTAACTTTAATCCGATCTAAGAGTCCGTAGTCGAATCCTACAAAGAACTAAGGTTTAGCTATAACTGTTTAATATTACCAAGAAGAAAAGCTCGAACAATTCCTAAGTTATAAAATATTAAAATTCTTATGTCTAACTAATTAACTAACAAATTAAAGTAGTAAATTAACAACAAAAGATACTAAGGGTTGGAGGCTAAATTAAGGAGGTCTAGAGTTATGATTTTTTCAATTGTCGAAATCCTTCCCGATGTCATCTATAATTTTGCCTAATTATTCTCTACTGATCATGAGCACTCGACTTATCCTAATTCTCTCTCAACCAACTACAATAATATACTAGTCATATTCTCTAGAATTACGCTAGCTCGCACTTATTCACCGCTCACTAGGATCACGTCAAAGCTTCTTTGTCTCTAATATTGCTTTTAAACCCGCTGTATTGATCTCTAATATACTTTAGGAGTGTTATTTTTCAACAACCACCTATATACATATCCTTTCTCAAGAAACACATAATAAATAGGCACAATCAATTGATAACTATTCAATCAACTGAAATAAGCACGTAGTTGAACAAGTAGATAAATCCAAAGGTTAAATTATATTAAAACATAACAAGAATTCATACTCCAAGAGATTCCATCAAAACTCTATATAACAAATTAGCTATTCATAATAGTATGCAAAACTATAATACTAGAATTCATAACAATAATGGAAATAGGAAGAAGAAAGTGAAAAACTCGTTGAAGAATTCTCCGCCTTGCTCCTAGTGTGTTCTTGCCTCCCCAGGTGTTGTCTAACCCTGAAGTAGTGTCTCCCCCTTCAAAAGGGCATTTTATGATGTGTCTATATCAATTAGGATTGATGTAGGGCGTCCTTGATCACTCCTAATTCGAAAAGGACACGCTTAGTCGCGTGTTAGAGTTGGTGCAACGCGCGACTTCTAGCACGCTCCCAATATTTTTTTTTCTTTTTCTTTGTTCTTTCGCGTGCCAGGTCCAGTGCCAACCTCCATAGTTCGCTGTTTTTTTGTTCATTTCCTAGGTCATTCACGCCTAGTTTCATATAATGTACCAATTGTGGTACGCTCCTAGCTCTTGCCTCTTTACTTCTTTTTGCATTAAATCATCCGATTTTTGCCAACTTCCATCCGAACTCATCCACACACAATAAACATGTAATGAGCATATTTTATATTTATAAACATATAATCTCCCGCAACTCACATAAGCAATAATATGCAAATATACTCAAAAACATGCATTTTTCATCAATTATCACTACCCCACACTTAAATTGTTACTCGTCCTCGAACAACTTAAATTTAAGCACATCGGCAAGTAACACAATTTTAAAACATACTCAAGCATCATACCAATGACAATGGTTTACATCAATGCTTAGAACCCGACATAAGGACTCTTCATACTCTCCTCGTTTTAAGACCAATGCGAAGACTATTTAAAATATTTATGTGACTCTTCTAACATCCTAACCTTAAAAATTGACTTCACTACATTCCTCTATATGACTCGCTTCTTGTGCCAACTAAATATATGAGTTCTTAACCAATTCGTCGTAAAGCCTGTGTCATCACCAACAAAGTAAAGAGAGTAATCAGTCCGCACACTCAAATATGAATTCAAGTATAATTTATGGACTCATATATTGAAATAATTCGTCACTCTCGCAAAGAAACTCATACGCCACCCAAGTTCGTATCATAGGCTTGCCCGTAGTGTAAGACTCAACTAATATAAGCTTGCAAAGTCTAGGATCAAGTAGGACTTTATAGGTTGTAATGTAGGTTAAGGGACAAGTAGGATATATATATAAGAAAATAGTGACTAGCCCTCCTAAATACTTTAATAGACCACACTTTCAAGTACATTCTTGTCATGACCAATTCAATATTTTACCGCGAAACCATACACAATTAAGCCCTTCTCATTAAGTACATAAATATATAGATACTAACTAGCACAAACAAAGATATGGGAGGTGTCATTAAATTTTTTTGTGTGTGTGTTTTTCTTTTCACATTCTCCTTAATTTGGTATTTCTGGCTAGTAAGAATTTTACCCACAAATGCACCTTGTCAGCCTTTCTATGGTTCCATTAAGAAGCTACCCAATCTCTTTCTTTACTCTTTCAGCGACTTAAGTGCTTTCGGAGGTAAAGAGTAAACAAGATACGATTTAGAAAAAATAGGGGTTGGCTCGTAATGTATGTGCCAAAGAAAAAAGTTTGCGGGCTCAAAAGGGTTGACTATGAATAATGTTATCATGGCAGACAAATAGGCTGAAGGGTCAATCAAAGAAATGCCTATATCATATACTAAGACTCACAAGACCTAATCATTTAGATTTGACTCACACACGGGGCAAGTTCTATATTAACAAGGGATGACACAGAGTACAACCAAAATCTCACCTCACACAATGCAGATGATCACTCGGGACGGTTCAGACTCGACTCTCAAGTTAAAGCAACTAGCAAAGTCAT